TATATATATATATAATATATATATATATATATATATATATATCTATATTTATGTTTGTATATATAATGTTTGTGTTTATAGATATACACTTATATACATTTAAGTCAATTTGTTATATATTTATGTATATATATATATAAATATATATATATGTGAGTGTGTTTGTGTGAGTGTGAGTGTGTATGTATGTATGTCTGTTTGTATGTATATATGTATGTATTTATGTATATATATATATATATATACATATATATATATATGTATACATATGTATATTGTATGTATATTATATGTATATTATATATATATATATATATATATGTATTTATATATACTTAAACGTATTCTTGTTTTTTGATTTGCATATGCACATACGTAAATTTTTACGGACTCTCATACATGTACTTACACAGATAAATAACACAGTATATATACCTTTTTACGCACACTTATACATGTACTTACACATATACATATCACGTTGAGTATCCACAATCATGTCTGACGATACTCGAATTCATTCAGGATCGATTTAAAACAGACCAAACTGAAGAAGGTAGGGTCGAATAAATTTATTTGTCCTCAACCTTGGCGAAATTTCCAGCACTTTGTCGTGCGTTTCATGGCTTCGACGTGCTCAATATACACTTAGAAAATGATTCCGTTATATAACTACATCCGGCTTATTTATACCAGTTCTAAATTTTATATGCAATATATAGTTTGATTATTCTATTCTTCATTTCACTCGTTTGTCAACTTGCAGGCGTCACCGTAGGTATGCTCGCAGAGATAGTCGATTATGTGTACGTGGTAATCCGGCAAGCGCTCGTAGTCCGTAGTCGTACTAACCCATTTGACATTGTTGTCTTGCCCAATTTTGAACACTCCTTCCCACGAGTTATAACTCTCTGTTGCATCATAGATTATAATCCCTGTCTGACCCATTTGTGTTCCACTATCCGAATCTGTGTAGCCTTCCATGTCATTGTCTTTTATCCATCGGGCCGCTTGACTAGGCCAATCATTCATGAAGGCATCACGAGGTTTCTCACGCACGCAGTACGCACTGGTAATTTTTTGGTACGGTGAAGATGAACTCCACGTTCCCCCGGCATTGTAGAAGATGAACGCGTCCGACATTATACTGCGCGCGTAGTTGGTATATCCCTCGTATTTTTTATACAATGACTCTCTGGGATCGGCAGGTGCTTCGTCAAAGAAAATACCAGTAATAGGGCACGGATAATCATAACCAAAGTCAGATGTGAGCCACTTCTCAACGTTTCCTTTGACATCGGATTCAGATTCCACTCCATAGTCGGTAGAGACATACGCAGTCACTATCGCACCATCCTTGACATAGGATTTTACCATATCTGACACGTATTTCTTGCTGTCAGTTGACCAGTTGTTGGCAATTTTCCACTCGTGATTAATGTTTATCATGATCGGTACCTTTCCTTGTTTCGCCTGCTTGACATAGCCATCGATTTCATCCCACAATCCACCGTCACAGCTTCCAGAACTACATTTTGGCGCACGGAACCTTGCGATAATATGCAAACCCTGTCCGGTGGTGCGAGCTACAGCTACATTTAGAAGGGCGCACAAAGTGGCGACGTACGCCAATTTAAGATTGCAAGGGAACTGCATGTTTTGAGTATGCCTAGCTTATAGAATACCTCTGGATTTAAATTGAATATTCGAGTATGAAAGCAGATGCGAGATGTGCACATGCTTTATACTATGTAAACTATGGCTTCTGGCACTATGTACTAAGAGATTAGTTTATGTTGGTCTAGAATGATAGTCATCGTCCTATTTAATTGCAATATGATTCATATAGCAACTGTGTTGACTCTGATTCTTACTACAGAAGCACACTTAAGTCATCTGAATCCTCGTGGGTACACTGTTACATTTTCTGACCTCTGCTCTAATAATATTTGATATTATTTAGGTATTTAGTTTTTGATGTGCTCCATAAAAATTGATGCATTTCGTTGTGATTTCGGCAGCAATTTTTGCACATCTATGGCAATTCTGATAACAAAACAAATTAAACCGGGTCTCAGGATAGTAAATTCGAATAACTACCAAAGGAATTTAAAAATATATATGTGCTGTACATACTGCTGTTGTATTATCCTTCCAGTGATACAACATAAAAGAATGCTGATGAAGTGTGAGCATCCCATGCGGCGCAGTTCGTACTCTATCTGAGTCAGAGGCTGTGGACGGTGGATAGAGATGGAGTCACGAAATAATTGCACTTCGCTTTTATTAGTCTCTCTCTCGACTCTCTCTCTCGAAATGTCAGTATGAATGCTGTCACTGCAGCACTACACTACTGCAGTCTGCAATGTACCGGCTACCGAGAGGGGAACGACATGAGTGATGAGGGATAAAATATAAAAATGCTTTCTTCTCAGGCGATACACATTACACAGTCACAGTCTCACAGAGCACAAAGTCAAACATAGCCCTCTAAAACATGGGCTATGTAGTCTGTAGAGCAGGTGCGATTGGCAAATATTATAATTTGATCGGATCCCGGCCCTGCTGCAGTTTAAAAAAAACGTTGAAAAAAACAAAAGTATAAGATTTTGTGTGCTGAGGTGCTGGGCAGCTCTAGAGAGTTTGGAGTCGCTGGACTACTATTTACAGTTAAAAAAAAACTCAATCTAAAAATCTGTAGCGATTTTAGCTATTTGCACTCAGCTGTGAGTCAGCACACACTGCACACCACACTCCACAGTCCACACACTATATACTGTCTACACTCTCTGCTGTCTGCCTGACTGCCTGTTGCTCTTTTTCTAACTATTGTGTATATATTGTGCCAGCCTGCCCGCCAGAGATAGGCTCCGGTGGTGTCCGGGCCTCTTAGTCTTTTTTCTTCTATTTAACTTCTAGTAATCTTGTTGTGCCTCGGTGTAATAAAAAAAACCAGAATTTGACGATGATACAGAATTATTACAGATGGACCAATTGTGTTGAAATTTGAAACCAAGCTTCCAGTCAAATCTATGCAATAAAACAAAAACAATCCAACAGTATAATGAGCAAATTCCTTGCCTATCGGAACGATCGCGGAGTGGATATTCGCCGATTTCGCACAATCGACTCGAATCGACGACAATCACGGTCTGCGGAGTGCGGATCGTCATCTTTCCAAACTGTGAAATCTCATATATGTATGATCAATTGATCATATCATACACCCTGCTGAAATATGGATGACAGACAGAAGTGATGCATGATAAGTTCATACAGATAACCACAGAGTTACAGACCCACGGCTACAGAGTACAGACAACAGTTGTCCACACTCACAGTCCATATTTTAAGAACTCTACACACAATCCAGTAAAAGCTTTCACTCAGGCTATCGTCATCGATTCTCCCTTAAGTTTTTTGAGTCACAGTGTAACTCTCAACTCTCACCTGACTGGCTGACACCTCTCCCCAGCCCCAGGGCCCAGGCCCACCGTCCTAGGCCCCTAACAGTAAGGCCCAGGGTCTGACCAAGTCTGAGTGAGTCTCCAACTCTCCACTGTGGGTCTGTGGCCCTGTGCGGCCCTGTGGCCCTGTGCGGCCCTGTGGCCCTGTGCGGCCCTGTGGCAGTTAGCACTTGGCACTTGGCAGTTAGCACAATCTATCTTAGTATCTCTCTCACACACTCTCTCTACTCTCTACTCTAGTAGAGAGAGTAAACACTAAACTCTCTACACAAGAAGTCTACGCCTCTACGCGAGTCTACGGTCACGGGTGGTATTTTTCAATTATTGGTATATGTATGAAGTGAAGTGAACAGTCCACAGGGCACAGGCAGTCAGCCTCAGGCACAGAGTTGCAGTCCCACAGACTCCAAAAAAAGATTTGAAGAGTCAAGGCTCAAGAGTCAAGACTCACAAAGAGAGAGCTCAAATTATTCACAAGTGACGAGTTGAAGAGGAGTCTGACGGTCAGCTAAAAAAAACCCCCTACCTCACCTTTTTTATAATTGCCTTACATTTATAGGGGACAAATAAAAAGTATACGTTTTTTATTATCCAGGGCTGACAGTGACTGACACTTGGCATCTAAGTTGGCACTTAACACTTGACATTTGACAGTCTAACAATTTGCTCGGTCCACTCCTCGGACCTCAGTCCTCCGGCTTAGGACATAGCGCAGTATTTAGTTTTTACATCTTGCCACTTCACTTCTCTAGTCCCGCTTGTGTGTGTGTGTGAGACTGAATACTGAGTTGTGCAACTCTTCTTGCCAGTTGCCAGTTGCCAGGTGCCTTTGGTTGCCAGTTGCCAGCTTCCAGGTGCCTTTGGTTGCCAGTTGCCAGTTTCCAGGTGCCTTTGGTTGCCAGTTGCCAGATGCATTTGGTTGCTAGTTGCCAGGTGACTTTGGTTGCCAGTTGCCTCTACTCTACTACTAGTAGTAGACCTTGCGGCTTGCGCCTGCGTCTGCAAGCCGCAGGTTACAACTCGCAATTAGTGCAAGAGGCTTGTTGTGTGAGAGTCAGTGTCTCTGTGAGCGTGAGATGGTTACTAACCTATCAGGCTTGCAAGTTGCAAAATGCAAACTTGCACGCTGCGAACAATTGTACGGGTTGCGATAGGTAGATATGTTTTTGTTTGTTTGACAATTGTTCTTTTTTAAAAACACAATTAAAAAAAAAACAAATTTCACAAAACAAAACTATATTATGAAATAAAAATAAAAATACAAACAGTGAGTTGAGTCGCTTGATTTTATTCGCGAGGTGTCTCTGTCGCAGACTGTCAGTGTCTGACGGTCCTGACTCCTGACCTGTCGGGCTGTGCAGCAAAGGTATTTAATAATTTATCTACACTCTACTACAGTCTACGACTCTACAGTAGACAGTCTACCCTCTACACACAACAAGCAAGATTACAGACCTCGGACCTCGACTCCTCGCAGGCTCCCACAAAGACACAAAGAGTCAAAGAGCGAGTGCCGGTCCACCCTAACGACTTTAAAAACTCACAACTGTCACAAAAAGCTTTTTTTATGGTTTGTTTTATTAAAAAAAAGTTGAAAAACAAAACCCCATCTGTCCGCTCACTGCTGTCAACTGTAAAGTTCAGATAAATTTGATCATCGATTGATGAAAGACTAGAACTTGGTTGTTTTAGAATACACACAAGCAGTCAGGTACACAGGACTCCAGGAGAGAGAGAGAGAGAGAGAGAGAATAAAAACATTTTTTTTTACATGTACTACTATGTGTTGATGGATATTTATATGTTATGACGAATATTCCTCCTCCTGCTCTCCCTGCTCACAGCTCAGCTGCTGGTGTGAAAATGTGATGTCCATTGTTCCGGACCCTGCTCATACTGTCGATGTCCCGAATATTGGCATTGTTCATATTTGGGTGTTCGGACGTATGTCCATGTACGATTCCAATTCCCTCTCTATCTCACACAGTGAACAGTCTGTACACGATCGCAAAATTGATGTGCTTCTTTGTATATTTTCGATAGATAGTTCTCATTTTATAACTTATTGGTCATAATAATTAATAAGATATATCTACATACGTGATTGAAAAAGGTAACGACAAATTTTCACAAAATACAAGGAAATATGAACTTGTATATGTGATGTACATACTGTTTTGTTTTTACTATGACCCGGAGACAGCTTTAATTGAAACATGATCCATTCAGTATGGACAGATCTCGCATTGTAACATGATACCTTTTCTGTAGGATAGACTTCTACTATCAAAAGATATACAGTAATCAGTTCTGAGACATGTGGGCATGGGCAGTGTCAATGTTGGCCACCCCAGGTATAAATATATATAAATATATATAGATATATATATTATATATATATAGATATATATATATACATGTACATATAAAAAATATGTAAATCGATATATATATATATATATACATAATAATATATATATATATATATATATTATATATGTAAATATATAGACATTTTATTTATTATTTATATATACATATATGCATATATTATACGTATATATATATATATATATATATATATATATGTATTTATCGATATATATATATAGATATTTATATATTTCGATATACATACATTCATACATATATACATATATATATATATATTTATGTATGTATTTATCGATAT